AAAAAAAAAAAAAAAAAAGAATTACAAAATGTCTAGTAAGAAAAGGAAATTCAGCTTGGTTTGGCAGCACTTTTCCTATACTAATGAAGACGAAAAAGTTATGTGTGACATTTGTAAAGACCTTTTATCCATCAAAGGTGGTTCAACAGGAAATTTAAAAAAAAAAACATTTGCAAAGGAAGCATCCTTGTGTAAATCTGCACGAGAAACGCGCTTTGCCGAATCAAGATGTTGATGATATTGATGCCGCTCCAGCCCGTTCTGTCGTCACTAGCCCTGCAGATGGTGGGCAACCATGCACATCCCAGCAGACTACACAACTTACGGTAGACAACAGTGCTTGTGATATTGTTGGTGTATTTTCACAAAAATCCCAGTCCAGCATAATGCAGTTTGTCCAGAGAAATACGATGGATGTACATGAAAAAAAAAAAAAAAAAGTAATCGATCGCGCACTGATCAAAATGGTATATAAGGATTTACAACCAATAAGTATCGTAGAAAATGAGGGATTCCGAGAATACTCAAAGGCTTTGAATCCAACCTATTCCTTACCTTCACGGAAAACGGTTTCTAAATCCTTGCTTCCTGCTGCTTATGAAGAAAAAAAGAATAGTTTTAAAAAACGTTCTTAGTGCTGTACAAAATATCTGTTTGACTGTAGACTGTTGGAGCAACCAAAAGGCTGAAAAGTTACATGGCCGTGACAGGCCATTTTATTGACGAACACATGCAAAGGAAAAACGGTACTGATTGACTGCTCAATTTTTGATGAACGTCATTCAGCCAAAAATATTGCAGAAAATATCATACACATTTGCCAACCATATTTTCCGATGGAAAAAGTGTCTTTAATAGTGACTGACAATGCCAAAATATGATTAACGCTGTCGACAGCGAACTAAAGTTAAAACATTTAGGATGCATTGCACACTCTCTCAATTTGGCTGTCACAAATTCTCTAAACGAGGTTAACGACCTTCTAACGAAAATTAGGGATATTGTGATAGTTTACAGGAGAAGTAATATCGCTGCAAAAAATCTGCGAAAATATCTGTGCTCTAGCGAGGAGAGAAAAGACTTAAAAGTCATCTTAGATGTGAAGACTCGTTGGAACAGCACATTTTATATGGTAAAACGTTTCCTTGAACTGAAAGACGCTATTCGTTCTACAATGGGTTTGATGAATGACCCCCCCAGAGGCTCTTGATGTGCCAGAATGGGAAAGTGTCCAACATCTTTGTGACGTTTTGAAACCTTTTGAAAAGGTGACTTGCGAGTTGAGTTCGGAAAAATACTTGTCAGCATCTATGGCGCCTGTGTTAATCGGCGGACTTCAAAAAATCTGTGAAAATCTGCTTAGTAAAAGTGTTAATGAACAAGTACAAAATGTGGTACTAGTACTACAACGTGAATTGGGTAATAGATTTACAACTATCGATTCAAGAGAAGACATTGCTCAAGCCGCTTTCCTTGACCCCCGAATAAAAAAATTGGGGCTCAAATGTGATGTCGCCAAAAAAATTGAAAGTGATATTATCTGCGAGTTATCGGTAGTTGCACAAACTACCCATAATCTTGTTGAGGATATGGAAGGGGATGATGAAGAGATAGACGAATCATCGGTTTGGTTCGAGTTTGAGAGTAAAGACTCTCGAACTTCATCAGCTCCTGCAGCAGACGCGGCGATCGACAAAGCTGCGGCAGAAGTGAAAAGATACCTGCAAGAGCCCATTCTTTCCAGGAAATCTGATCCACTGGAGTGGTGGGAAAAGAATAAAAATGTATTTCCTTATTTGTATGAATTATCACGGAAAAATTAGGCCTTGTGGCTACTTCAGTGCCATGCAAAAGGGTGTTCTCTAAAGCTGGATTAATACTGAATGATCGGCGAAACTGTTTTGAGTGGACAAAAGTTGAAAAACAACTAATTTTCTTACATTACAATTATAATATTTAATCATTTGTTGACCTTCTTAAAATTCCAACCTAAGTTCAGCTTAAAATGTTATTTCTATGTTTATTTTCGCTGCATTATTTTCAACTGTTTTCGGGGAGTCAATTTTTTTATATGCTTAATTTTTTGTTACATATTTTAAGTGGTCTTTATAAAAAAAAATAGAAGGAATTAAATGCCTAAAATTTCCATAAAGTTAAAAAATTTGATACTTTATAACGTTTTGCACAGCCTATCAAAGTTTTATTTGTTTTAATTAAATGAAATATTACTTCATTCAAATGTCAATTTCTTAAAAAATATTATTTTGAAATTGTATTTAGATTATTAATATAATATAAAGTTCTACAGTTCTATTATTTACTTAGCTGTACTCACATATGTTAAGTTCTCATATAGTTGAAAGCATGCTATCTTATTTTCTAGTGTTTAAATCATCTTAATTTAAATTTTATATCGAATGTACTTATTGATTCATATAATGCGATTTTACAAATATTTTTGTTGCTTTTTGCTGTTACAGCATCCAGATATTACGTTCTCGTAGTTTTAAAGACATGCTGCCTTATTTCCTAGTGTTTTTAATAATCTTTCACTCAAAATTCTTATGTCGAATGAGCTTTGCTGTTAATTTGAGTTTTTAAAAATATTTTTTACCATTCTGTTGCATTTTTGTGTTTACTGCATCCAGGTATTGCGCTCTCACAGTTTTTAAACCCTTTGCTATCTTATTTTCTAGTGTTTTTTTTTGATAATCTTCAATCAAAATTTTATATTGAATGTGCCTTTTAAAATCATATTGTGCATTTTTTAAAAATATTTAACCATTTTGCTGAAATTTACTTATTACTGTAGTACATCCAAATATATTACATTAATCTCACTTTTCAAAACATACCTCATTTTCTAGTGCTTTTGGTAATTCAAAATGGTAAATCAAATATATATGTTTATGCAATTTTAAAATCATATTTTTGTTTTAAAAATATTTCTAATCATTTTGTTGTTTATTGTATGGTGCCAAATCTCCAAAAGTACAAATCTTAACTCAAATAAACCTAAATGTAATTTAAAAAGGAAACAGTATAAACTTTTTTGTGGAAAAGCTCTTCAAACCATGTGTATATGAAGAAATGTGTAAATTTTATTTTAGCCAGAAAGTATTTACAATTAAACACACAAGGTCATTTATGTATATTAATGTTTAAATTATCTTACTTTTTATTCAGAATTTTTAATATATAGGGGAGAGTAGAGAATAAGAGATTTTTCTTTTTTAAAATTTGGTAGCTTGATAAGTTTTATTTTGCAGTGGTACTGAAGGTCATTATCTTATCTATAAGTGGGATAAAGTTTGTGATTATTTAATTTCTAGACCCTATGTAACCCTACGCCCTTACTATCGAATTGAAGGTATTAAACGACTTCTGTGGTATGTTATTTATCCATATAAATAAAAAATATCATGTTAAAACAGATTGATCATTAAGTTTCTGATATTTACTTAGGAAAATGCATCCTATCGGGTTGCTACACAGCTAGTTATACTCGTAGTTAATTTTCTATTTTAAATTTATTGCGACATTTTTACTCATAGTATAGTGTTGCATCAAAATTTCTATTTTCCGATTTTTTCCTTTTTGTTTCCCTCCAACAGTACAACACAACACAGGCCGAAAAAAACATAGTGTACTCTCCCTTCCTTCAATATCATACAAAGAAAATCTTCCGACGTTTTTCAAAGTACGCAACTATGCTCATTTGGGGCTGTCCATAAATGATGTCACACTTTTCTGCAACATTTTGGACCCCCCTCCCCCTCTTTGTCCCAAAGTGTCAACATACCCCTCCCCCCTTTGTCACATGTCACGCAATATTACTTAAACTTATACTTGCAGTTCATAAAACGTAGCACTACGTTATAGATCATATTTCAGACTTTATTTTTAAATTTAAACTATATTTTTAATGACATCTTTAAATAACAATAATAATGATTCGTGCACTATTTTGTATGAATAAAGAAAAGTTTACAGCAAAAAACATAATTAATACACAATAGCAATAAAAATTACAATTTCTGCCGCTACCCTATTCTCAAAACCTACTCTGAATGCCTTTTTTTTTTTTTTTTTTTTTGAAAGAAAGGAATGTAAGTAAAAAAAAAAATCACATGAAAGTTGCTTTCGCCCCAATTAAGGAAATACCTTCAAATTTTGATAATTTAAAAATAACTTCAAAATTCAATCTGCTGATTTTAAACATTTTTATTTTATTCAAAATATGATGTCACACCTCTTGTTACGCCCTCCCCCGCCTTGTCACAAACTGTCACAATTTCACTAACCCCCTCCTCCAAGCGTGATATCATTTAGGGACGACCCCTTTCACGAAATTGATAGAGCACCCATCGATTTTGCTGCACCTGCACACAAGAAGACAACAACCGAAAGCGAAAATGTTTTCCATCCATCCACTTCCCGTGCCACAATCCTCCCTCCAACCCCCACTGGCCATCAAAGACAATCTACACAAACCCCAACACCAGAAACAACCCGCCGCGCTCTCCTGCTCCTCAGACACTTCCGTAGTTGACATGTTTTCTGATATTCAAAATCTCAACTCCGTACAGATAAAATCAAACATGTGGTGACGTGGCAGAGTTCCTTCAGTGTACAAAATCGTTAGCTGCATATTTCGGTACTCCAAATCATTACTAGGGTACTCCGGTACAGCAAACCGTTACTAGGATACTGTGGTACAGCAAACCGTTACTCTGGTATTTCATTACTTCGGTACTCCAAATCGATACTTGGGTACTCGGTACTCGAAATCGGTTTTCGGTACTTTTCAAAGTAACAGTTACTTGAGTAACGGGTATTTTGTACCGGGTACTTGTCTGTACCCGTTACTCTTGTACCAGGTACAAGAATGTACCGAAGTTGCCCATCACTACTCGCAACGCAATAATAGCCTTCAGCCACTGGCCTTTTTCTATCAAAAATTGACTTCAGCAAAACTCAGTACAGTACAAGCAATAGCAAATTACTTGTTATCTACTGTGCTGTAAGGCATTTTCAACAATCTTGAGGGACAAGTTTTTACAATATATACAGATTATTGTCCTCTAATATTTCTGTTTAGAAAAAAAAGAAATAAAATCATATTCTGCATATGAATTACATTGCCCAATTCAGTGCCAACATATAACATGTTCCTAGGCCAGAAAATACTGCGGCAGATACATTCTCACGAATTACTGCTATCTCACGAATACTGATACTATTCTCACAAATATCTGGATATCACAAGTTATGCACAGATTGCTGAATTTCAACATGATGATCGTGAACTGATCTGTTGTCCACCAAAAGTAGCTCATTAAAACTACAAAAGATGGAATTGTCTCTTGGGATAAATATATATTATGATGCAAGTAGTGACAAGAATACGTCTCTTTGTTCCCAGCCAACTCCAGACAGCAGTATTTGATTCACTCCATGGACTTTCTCATCCAAGTATATGACCGACCAAAAAATCCAAGTATATGACCGACTTCTTTCTCGTTTTGTTTGGCCTTCTAAGTCAAAGGATTGTGCTTGTATCGACTGCCTGAAGTTCAAATTTATACATCATACTCATAGTCTATTCCAGTCCTCTGCTGTACTTAGTCAACGTTTTAAGTATGTGAATTTGGATATAGCAAGGCCTCTGCCTCCCTCGGAACGATACTCCTACCTTTCAACGCTCAGCAACCGATTTTCCCAATGGTCAGAAGCAATGCTAGTGAAAGATATTTCGGCTAAAACTGTTGCTCAAATGGTTTTCACCTACTGGATTGCTAGGTTTGGAGTTCCCATAAGTATTGATCAGGGCCGACAATTTGAGTTGTGCATGTTCACTATTAATAAACTTCTTGATATTCAGTGAACTTGGACTACCCCATAACACTCTGAAACGAATGGATTACTTGAGAGATTCCACCACTCACTAAAACAGGCATTGATGTATCATAATAATGCATACTGGATGGTGAGTCTTTCAATTGTGTTTCTCAGTCTTCAATCAACTAACAAATAAAATCTGGATGGAACCTGCTCGGAAATGTTACATGGAACTACTATTCGCCTTCCTGCAGAGATTTTGCAACCTAAGCAAGTTTCTAATTCTGTTGATCCTACTTCATTTTTACAGAAACTGTGTGAGGAAATGGCAGAAATGTCTCCAGTGTGCACATCAACCTTGTGTTAATGAGAGATAATTTGTATTGCAGTAGTGGCATCATTCATCTTTGCTGTGCTCACAATAGCCAGAGTATAAAATCACGGACTTTTTTGCCAAGACTCACTGATGACTTCTTGCTTTTATTGCCTGTTCATTGCCAATGTATGGTGTCAGCTCATTTGTGTTAATGTTAAATGTTTAACCTTTTGCAAGATGTGCTTTCCTTTTTGTAATGTTAAATAAAGTTGATTTTAACTATCAGCTGAAGTTTGTGCCTTCTACTGACCTTCTGATTGAATCCAATAGTGATAAACCATTGCCGTAATCTCAACAACTATATTAACATACATTAACTATATTATATATAAATATGTATACACCATGACTTCCTTATATGGAATATTAAAATATACACAGTTTTTCCCGCATTTCATGTATACTTATTTCCTCGAATTTTATTACATATACATTTCTCGTCCAATTAATTCAGTTCTCATTTTGTGGAAAGGCAAAAATAAATAAAAACTCAAATTATCTTCATTAAAAATTGAAAGATATAGAAAAACATAAAACATCTAATACAGTTAAAATAATTTTTACAATTCAAATTTCTATGCAAAAAAGATTTTTTTTGGAGCACAA